ACCATGCAACGTGCACAAACTTATTAAAAAATACGGCTACTATCTACTCTTTTTTATATATGAGCTAACTATACTATTGTTATATATATTACAGTTTATATCGTTGATAGCAAGCAATAACTAGGTGATAAAAACACAGTAGCGAACAATTTGAAGAAATTTTCAATTCGGTCACTTTAAAATCATCTATACGATGGAAGCAAAGACAAAAGTCTGCTTTAGCAACAGGGAACAGGAAGCGTTGGACCGTTAAACCATTTTTGGAGGGCAATTAGTGGGGGTGGTTTCAAGTTTCATATACATGTGATACATCTTATCAGTAACAAAGTGGTTTAAAATGCGCGCCAATTTTTCGACAGTCAGCTGAGGCGGGCTACGGTTAAATTTCGCGCTCGCGCAAAGCGAGGGTTGCGGAGAATTTTAGTGTCGTCTGTCACAGATGGCAGGGCTGCGCTCCTAAAACCATGGGTACGCGCATGGCAATATGAGTGAGCCCCTCATGGTCGGCGGCACTTGGCACACTAAACGTCAAACAAGTGTAATATCGGGAAACACACAAGTTCTTACATACTTGTGTGTTTCACGGCCATTTGCACCAGTCTTCCTTAAAACTTTGGATTAAGGTTAACCCTAACTACAGACAGCTTTGCACGACTGTCAATTAAGTGATACTTAGCTAAGATGAAGTTTTACCTGGCAACATTGCTAAAAGTTGGCTTTTGCTCCGGCTTTTTCTTTCCAAAATAACCTTTATCTTAGAACTGAATGCGAGGTTGCCGTTACTGTTTACGTCTCAAATATAATTAATGCATAATATATTATTAAAGATGGAGTCATCTGAAAATAAAAAACGGACTATATTTTTCCTATAAGGAAAACTTTAGACTCCCAGTTGGAAGCGAACAATGCTATGTTATGAAGAGGAGCTTTAAAACATTTTAGCCTGCACATCATGTTCGAGTTTCAGTAGGAAAAGTTAAAATTGGAATACCTAAAAAAGACTTATGCAAATAATGCTATTTTCCATTTGTTTTAGTAATGCATCATAAGTTATTTCAATTTAATAATGAACTTTAATTTAATAATATTGGTCCTTTATCA